GTGATCCACCCGCCTCGGCCTCCCAAAGTGCTGGGATTACAGATGTGAGCCACCGCGCCCGGCCTAATCATCCTTTCTTAATCTTCCTTCCCTGTTGCCTATGGTATACTATACTTAGGTGTAATTGCTCTGAATGAGGAAGGTTAGATAACCAGCTTTGCATTTCCTGTTTTGTTGCAGTCTTTTCTTTGATTACTGGGAAATGGAATAAAAATGTAAGCATATGGTTAAAATGTTGTGTTCAGCTTTATAGAGTACATTAAAGAAATTCTTTTGTTATCTTTAGTAAAAATGAAACATACTTTCTCAAGTGTGGTCTCCAGAAATAATTATCCACTGGACATTTGAGAAAGCCTAATAAAATCAAAGGAAAAAGAATCATGAAGTCTTTTTTTTTGTGCTGATGAATACTGCAGTGATAAAATATTTGGTAAAAATGTGACAGGAGGAAGTTTGTGCTAAGGTGTATGTATGTAAACTATTTTTATCCTCAAAATAGGTAGAAGCAATTTTTAGTCATTAGGAAATATAGGTTTCCAAAAAGAAGAGTTTTTTTTACCCCTGTGTTGCTGCTTGGTTCTCTTTTGCCACAGTAAGTAATTCTTTGGAGTTGTAGAAGACAGGCCTGTGGATTGTGTTGGGCTGTTAGTTTTCTCTTGCAACTGTTTGCTTTATTGATTTCTGTAGCATTTCATTGTGAATGATGTTGAGAAGGGGTTAGAGGGCAGTGAGGGAGATCTGCCTAGCAACCAAGAAGGGGATGGCAGTTGGACAGAGGAAGATAATTGCTTTCATATAATTAGAGTTGGGGCAAAGATGATTCAAAAGGCTAAATTACTTACATGAGCCAAATTAGTTATAAGGCAAATTTTAGAGACTTTGTTTGCAAAAGGACAGAGGAAATCTGCTTGCCAAGGAAAGAGAGGTAAATGATAAATATAAACCTGTGTGCCTACCTCACTTCAGCCCTTCATTCCCACAATTATACCAGAGAGCATGTCACTCTTTAGATGGTGCTTTCCTTTTGTAATCTCAATCTTCAGACTCTATCTTTTTTTTTTTTGAGACGGAGTTTCACTCATGTTACCCAGGCTAGAGTGCAATGGCGCGATCTCGGCTCACCGCAACCTCCGCCTCCTGGGTTCAGGCAATTCTCCTGCCTCAGCCTCCTGAGTAG